CCCTGTAGCCCCAGCTGACCTGGAACTCACTATGTAGACCAGGCTGGCCTTGAACTCACAGAGATCTGCCTGCCTCTGCCTCCTGAGTGCTGGGCTTAAAGGCGTGAGCCACCACGCCTAACCTCTAAGAAGCTTTATAAAGCTTTCAGGATTTCAGGAGTCATGAAGATCAGAGGGCAACACCTGACAGAGTACCCACCATACACCACCATCTTCAGATATCTGGCTTCCGGAGCTGAGACTGTTGTCTTACCAGCTTTCCATGACGTAGGTCTTCTGTACAACTAAGGCTGTGGGTGAAGTGACATTTCCTGTCTTCGGGGGCTGGGGTAAGAGGAGCGATGAGAGCACACACACCTGCACCCATGGAGTCCCGCCTGGCCCAGACATGTCTCCAAGGTAAGTACAACATTCAAGACCCCCTACCCCCTGCTCCCCTCCTGGGCCTGAGCTCCCTCCCACTTCATTGTGGAGTAGTTGCCCCAAGCCTGAGCTAGCATAATGTCCTCTCTAGGGCTCCATGCCCATGCACCCACCATGAAGGCAAGGACAGGATGCTGAGAACTTCCTAGGAGACTGGGAAGAATAGGAAGGTAAAAAGAAGATGGCAGGTAGGAAAGCCTAGACCAAGAGAAGGGCCTGGCCAGAAGACATTTGCCTCTCCACAGGGCTTCCAGGCAATCAGAAGGCCAGCCTAGTCTCCTTGCTGGCACTCAGTTTCAATGAGAGCCTTTCTGACAGCATCAGCTTCCCAGATATCCCCTGGCTCCTTATTCCTCATCCCTGAGACCACACACACACACACACACACACACAAAAAACACACACACACAAACACAAACACAAACACACACAAACACACACACACACAGTCCCCCGGTGTGCCTTGGCTCCTTCTCATTCCTGAGACCACACACACATACACACACACACACACACACACGCAACACTTGTGTTTCTCCTGCTGTCATGACAGTCCGTGTCTGGAAAGGCCCCTTTAGAGATGTTGCAGAGGCACCCTGAGCCTGGGCAGGAGGGGTTGCCTGAGGGAGAGGCAGTGCCTCTGAGAATCCCCAGCAGCTCCCTTTGTGCTAACAGAGAATCAGGAAGCCCCTACCCCAACCTTCAGCACCTTCCAGCCCATGAACTTGACCCAGGAGAGTTGCCAGGGCCTGGGGTGGGGAAGCAAGCCCAGCATACAGACTCTGAAGGTCCAGGAGGCTCAGCCCAGCCCCAGGATGACCCACATCATGGTGAGTAGGAACATGGAAGTAGTTCAGTGGCTTCATCTGCTCCTGCTCTCTCATGTGTGAGGACAGACCTGGACGCGGTTAGGAAGAAAGTCAGCAGGAAGGAATGAACAGCTGAGGACAGGGCTGAGTGCAGGGGTGGAAGGAGAGGGAGGGCCTCCTTGAGCAGAGCTGCCCACTGCCCTTGCTGCTTCTCTGCCCCTGGGATGCTCAGGCTTGGTCAGCAGGTGACCAAGGCACAATGCAGAGTCCCAGAAGAGGCAGTCTGCATGCCTGTGTCTGCACCTCCATCTGCCCAGGATATTGAAGAACTCATCTCTATCCCTTACCCACCCAAGAATCAGGAGCCTTCCCTGCCACCAGCTTAGTCTCCTTTGCTGGAAGGGAAGTCTACTTCTCCTGGCCTGGGGCAACTTCCTGCACCATCTCTCACCCTCCCCAGACTAGTCTGGGAGAGGCAAAGAAGGCATTTAAGCCAGTGATCTTGAGAAGGACTTTCTGAGAAATCTAACCCTAAAGTAGGTGAGGGGCTGGTATGTATGAAGATAGGAAGGAGGCAGCTTGGGGTCAGAAGAAGCCCTCTAACCATCACCCCTTGTGCCCCTGCCTTCTCCCATGCCCAGGCATCTGCCCTAGTCCTGGGAGCTGCCTGTGTCCCTGGGAATGCTGACAGGGCAGAAGAGGTGCCTGGGGAAGGTGACTTGTCCTTGCAGGCTGAGACCAGAGCATGGGTTCAGAAGACCCAGGCCCACTGGCTCCTGCACAGGGCTGCCCCTGTCTGGTTCCACGGCTTCATCACGAGGAGGTGAGTCACAGGGCAGAAAACCCCCAGAGTGTGCAGGGCCTGTGGGTCCTGCAGTCAGTCAGGAGTTCATGATAGCTAGGACTCTAGGTTCTAGAGCCTGAAATTTCCCAGGCCCTTCACTGAGGAGAGGCACTGGCTCAGCCAACTCTGTGCCTCAGTTTCCCCTCTCTAGGCAACCTTATCTTACTGGCTCCAGGCCTCTCCCCCTTCTATCTCCATCAGCTCTCTCCAGCCCCTCCTCTCTTTCTTCTAACCTTTGTAGAGCCTCCACCTTTCTCCATTTCTCAGCCCTACTTCTATCTCTTTCTTTGTCTCCTAAGTCCAGTTTGTGACTTGTGATATCTGGAGTCTTAACTGCCTGTAGCTGCTGCTGCCCCTCCAGGCTGCCCTGCAGGATGAGGCCCAGGGAGGGTGCAGAACTCCTGTGCCCATCTCCACCTCATTCTCAGCATGCTTGCTTGGGGGGGGGGGTCCCTCATGAGAGCTGGAGAAAAGAAGTGAGGCTTCCAGAGTTAGAACTGAGTCGGCATTCCTCTCCTCTGCACAGGGAAGCAGAGAGGTTGCTACAGCCCCAGCCTCAAGGATGTTACCTGGTGCGCTTCAGTGAAAGTGCAGTGACCTTCGTGCTGTCCTACAGGTGAGGGCAGGGGAGCCTGCCTGCTGTGGGGAGGGGCTTCGCGCTAATTGTAGACAGACTCTGCCTCTCTCAGGAGGGCCTGGGCTCTTCGCTTTGCTGAGATGCTGAAAGTCAGGGTCACCCTTGAGTTGGCATCCTGGTGGGAGAGGGGACAGCAAACCTGACTCCAAGTGGCCCCTCCAGGAGCCGAACTTGCTGCCGTCACTTCCTGCTTGCCCAGCTCAGGGACGGGCGTCACGTGGTACTGGGCGAGGACAGTGCCCACGAGCAGCTTCAGGACCTGCTTCAGCACTACACATCGTGTCCCCTCAACCCTTATGGGGAGATGCTCACCCAGCCACTCGCCCGCCAGGTGCGCCCTGACCCAAGACCTAGGGCTGAAGTGCCAGCTGCTCCCCAGGTCCAGCCAGGCCTTGACACCCACCTTTCTCATCCCAACACATGACCGGCCACCCTCACCACCCAGCCATAGACAGCAGGGCAGAAAGAGGCCAGTGAGGCAGTCCATTTAAATTCAAGGAAGTTTACTGAGTACCCACCTAGGGCAGACCAGGGGCTGGCAGTCCTGGAAATAGACCCATGGGCAAGACAGGTGGGCAGCTCACTCACAAATCTTACTATAACAAACACAGATAGACCAGTGATGGACATCAAGTGTGGAGACTCTGATGCCCAGGAATGCAGGGACTATAGCCTGGCGGGAGCTGTGTCAGGAAGACCCTGAGTAAGTGCAGATACTTCTGAGGGAACACTGTGTCGAGCAGAGCTCTGGGCACTGAGGAAACGTCAGCGACTAAACTGAGCAATGCCTGCTGGCCTTCCTGAGGGATCCACTCTAGGACTGACAGACAACATAAGTACTGTAGAGAACAAGCTGATAGCACAAATGGTGAGAGCTAAGAAAGGTGAGCTGTGATAGGGAGTGATAGGATCTGGACTTTCTCATAGAGACACCAGGGAAGGCTGCTGTCATAAGGGGACATCTGAACAGAGGCCCAGATGGAGTAAAGGAGGGAGCCTAACAGTCAGCTGAGGCAGAAGTAACAGCAGGTAGAACAGCCCTGAGGTGGAAGGATGTTGATGTTTGAAGAATAATGAGCAGTGAGGAAGCTGATGTGAGTAGATCTGGATGTCTGAGAGATAGATGTGAGATAAGGTCAGAAAGCTGAGGAAGGGGCCCTGTGGATTCATAAGGATCTGAGGTCTATTCTGAGTAAGATGTGATTACACTGGAGAGCTACAGGTCCAGAGAGAGGCTTGGTATAACTTGACAGCAGCTTAGGGCTAGTGCAGTGGAAGTGGAGTGGGCAGGACCGCAGGTTATTCAGAAGGTGGGGCTGACGGGATCTTGGCAGAACTGGATGAGGAATGTGGAAGGGTGACCGAGATGAAGATTGGCGGAGGAGCAAGACTGGGCCTGGGTGAGGAGACAATAATAGTTTGCGATGTTACATCATCGGCATTAGGGGATGGAATTGCAGCTAGGGTACGGCTGTAGCTAGGGGAGTTTGTCTAGCTCCAGGCCCTGGGTTCAATCCCAGTGCCATAGGAGAAGGATAAAAAGGCAATGGACTGGAGGCAGAGTCAGGCAGATCTCTGTGAGATTGAAACCAGCATGATCTACATATCGAGTTTTAGGCCAGCTGGGGCTACAGGGAGACTGTCTGAAGAAAAAAGAAAATAAAAGAAGAAAAGAGAGAAGGAAAGTCAAGTGGAAGCCACAGGACTGGAAGACTGGAATCTGGACAGAATTCTGAGTAGAAGCTCAACACAGCACCTTACCACTCAAGCTCAGACAACTGGCTCCTTCTAAGGCAAGAAGCCCGGCTGTGGGCTTGGAGATGTGAAGACTTGGGAGATTGGCTATAGAAGGAGCAGGGCATGTGCTGGATTTGATGTAGGAGGGAGGTGACATGCCAAGCTGATGACCCTATTTTTGAACGAAATACAGAGAAGTACAGAGTGGGCACAAGCAGAAAGAATTCTAATTCAGATCCAGGAAGCCTTCAGTGATTGTACGAGCTGAGCAAGCCCTATGGCCTTGCCCTAACAGGAGCAGAGGGCGCTTGGGGCCTTCATGGTTAGTGCTGAGCTAAAAGTATTACTACCATGGAGGTTACATGGGAAAGTTCCTATCTCCTGAGGTAGTTTCTACCTCTAAAAAAGATGTTGCTTCTATTTCCATAAATCAAATTTCTTGAGACCAGTGGGGTCAGAGATAAGGCCCCCACTGTCATAGGAATTTGTTCCCATTCAGATTGTTGTGAAACTAAAGACTTCTAAAGCTTCATTGTACCTTTGCAACCACAGGCACAATGAGCCTGCCCTGGCCCTTTATTCTAGATGAAGCCACACCCTAGGACCAGAGCTCACTTCCCTCCACAATCCCCATCCTCCTAGCCATCTCTACTTCTTCCTCACACAAAGATCCTGGGCCAGGTCAAACTTCTGTCTTCATCTCTTCCTCCTCATCCTCCTCTCAGACCCCATTTTTTCCCCTAAATTAACCCCCCACCACTACCACACACACCTCCTCTGGCCCTAGTCCCTCAGGCCTTCTTCCCCTACAGACTCTTGAGCCAGCTGGACTTTCCCTAAGGATTGAATCAGACTCTGGAAGCAAAAGCCACCATCCCAACCCCCAGCACAGCCTGCTCATCAAACAGAGAAAGGCCCAGACTCCAGCACACAAAGAGGGGGCCTGGGAGCTAAAGGAGGTACTATATCAAACTAGAGGGCCTGAAGGAAGGGACAGGGCTTACAGAGGGGGACATAGGATGGGGAAAAGGCCAAGAGGGAAGCATCTCATGGGCAGGGGCTCGGGCGGAGATAGGTTTGAGCCTCAGCAGTTCTCGTCAACTCTCTTCCCCGGCCTTGTTTTCTCTCCTAGTCTTCAGAAGCACCCAGGCCTAAACCTCCCATCCCTGCCAAGTCTCAGCTGCCTCTTGAAATCTACGCAAGTCCTGCTTCACAACCCCATCAAGCCCCACTCACAAACCCCATCTACCAGGAACCTGATGAACCCATCGCCTTCTATGCCATGGGCCGGGGCAGCCCCAGGGAAGTCCCCGGTAATATCTATGCTGAAGTAGAGGGACCACTGGGAACAGCACCCACTGGGCACTCCATCCTCCACAAGTGCCAGTCCAGACGCATCCCTGGAGGCCAGGTAAAGAGGGTACAGGGAAAGAAAAGCCTAAGACAAACTTTCTGCCAGCTGGCAGGGAGAGTGGAGAGTGGAGAAACGCGCACCCTGAACACAGGATCAGAGTGAAGGTCAGAGGTCTGAGGCAATGTGGAAGGAGCAGAATGGTCCGGACTACTGGAAATCTTTACGCAGCTCCAGACCCAGGGATTGCTCCTTGTCCTCTCTGGAGAGTGATTCACATGAGCTCTCCTTTGTCAAGCCCTAGTCCCCTCCTACTTCAGAGAAAACACAGGGGTACAGATTTCCTCCAGCATGCATCTTTACTGTCAGGCCCTCCACAGACATGGGGTGCTGACCCAGTTGCCCTAGAAAAAGCACTTGGTGTCCCATGTGTCATCTCAGATGGGCTCAGGAAAGGGGGCTGCTGCACTCCTCCCTTCGGTGAACCCCTTCACAGTCTTCCCACTGATAGCTTCAGGTACATATCTAAATATGGTAATGTCATTCCATGTGCCAGACCTACCTCCAACTTCCCCTCCCCTCTGCCTTTCTCAAACCTTGTCCTCCAAGTTCAGTCTCCATCTAAACTTCCCTTCCTGCCTCTACCTCCTGAGTGCTGGTTGGCCCCCCAGGGTCCCACATTTGCACAAACTCCATTCAGGCAATACTGCTCACATCCATCCCACTCCCCCTTCCCTTTGTCGTGTGCTCCACATCCTGTGCTCCACTGATACTTTCCGGTACCCGGCTATTCAGCTAGACACCTGAGATCCCTGAGCATCTCCACCATCTTTACCCCACTGTCTGTCACTAGCACCTGCCCTTCCTAATCTCCCCTGTTCTAGGCCCCACCATTCCTCATCAGGACTTTTTGTTTTTTGAGGCAAGGTCTCCAGTAACCCTGGCTGACTTCCAACTTTCTCTGTAGTGGAGGATAGCTTGAACTTCTTATCCTCCTTCCTCTACCTCCTGAGTGCTAGGATTATAGCAGTTTCTGCAGTACTGGGGATCAAACTCAGGGCTTTGTGCATGCTAGGCAACACTTTACCCACTGGGCTACCTACATCTCCAGCCCCTCTAAGAGCTTCCTAACTGACCTCCTAAACACAGAGCTTGACACCTCCTACCCAGTCTGCCCTAAAAGGACTTTCTGAAGCAGCTGCCTGGCCCTGAGGCCTTCCACATTGAGGTGAGGGCCCAACTCCTCAGCCTTACTGCAGAGTGCACCCATCACCCCAGAACCAGTTTCTCCAAATTCACAAGAGAGTGTCGAGCCTCTTCCAGTTTATACACACCAGTCCTTCAACCTATGGCAGCTTCCTGCAAACTCATCCTCCTGCTGCTTAGCAACCTTCTAGCCCCATTTAAGACCACTTGCCCTTCTCCCCTGGAAAGCCTTCCCTGACCTGACACATACCTCTGTGGCCATGCCGCTGGCCAGCTAGGACGCCCGTTCTTCCTTTGTCCTCCCATTGCCCCCTTCTCAATAGGGATGAGCTCACCAGGCAAGCTGGGATGTACTCAGCTGTTTCCAAAAACCAGCTGGGCACTTGGAACAAAGCAAGTGCTAAGGAAGGGAGGGAGGGAGGAGGGAGGGAGGGAAAAAGAGGGAAAGTCAAGATGGAAGAACAAAGAAGAGATAAACTCAATCTATACATACTCTCTAACTTAAAATTTATTTTTATTTCATGTGTGTAAGTGTTTTGCCTGCCTGTATATAAGTGTACCATGTGCACACAATGCCCACAGAGGCCAGAAGAGGATGGAGGAACCCCTGGAATTAGAGTTGCAAATTGTTATTAGCCACTATG